ATGACCAGGGCCGGGCTGGCAAGGGCTGCGGGTCGGGAGTGAGGGGCACCCGCCCAGCTGCATGGGGGGGGGCTGGGGGTGCACGTTCCAGGCTGGCGCAGCCCCCCCCGTCTGTCCAGCCCCGCAGGGGGGAGCAGCTGCCACGTTTCCCCGCCTGCTGCAGCCCCGGCTCCTGCCGCTATAAATAGGTCGCGTCCCGGGGGCCGCAGCTGGTTACATAAGGGAGCCGCCGGGGGGGGGGCTGCATGACCAGAAATAGCCCCCGCTTGGGGGGGGGACACGCGCGGCCTAGATTCTCCCTTCCACGGGGGGGCAATGATCCAGCCCCTTCCCTCCTCTTCCCCCCATAACAGCTACAGCCCAACGATGACCTGCTGCAGGAATATTGGAACCCAGGAGTCCGGGGCATCTCTGCCCCCTCCTACCCCTGACACCCAGCTCGCCTCACCCCCCCCCCCCACGAAACGGACCCCTGCCCCCAGCTCCCAGCCCGCCACTTAGAAAACATCCAAGTCATTTGGTAAACATGAGTTTTTAATGTACATTACAAAGGAAATGGGGGGAGGGCAGGGCCCCCCCGGCCAGCTGCTGTTAGGGGGGTGTCAGTGTCTGGGGGGGAGCAGGGTCCCCCCAGCCCCTCGGGATCTGGACATGGCAGAAAGCAGCAATGGGGGAGCCCCAGGGCTGGGGTGAAGAGCAGCCCTGGGGGGATGGGCCTGCGGCGAACCCAGGAGTCCTGGCTCCCAGGCTGCCCCCTCCCCTTGCACCCCAGGATCCTCACGGGCAGCTGGGCCCGGCCAGGTGCCCCCCGAGGCCACGAGAACATGCGAGACCCCCCGGCTGCTGCTCCCCCAGATGGCACCAGAGTCAGGCCCAGCCCCCCCCAAAGGGCATGGGCCTGGGCCAGTGGGGTGATAGGAACCCCTCCCCACCAGGGCTCAGAACCCAGGAGTCCGGGCACGCGGGGGCCGGGGCGCGGAACCCAGGAGTCCGGGCGCGCGGGGGCCGGGGCGCGGAACAAGGTCTGGCCTCGCCCCTCCCCCCCGGCACCCTGGGACCCCTCAGCAGACACCCCCCCCCGTTAAAGTGCTGGTGTGAAGAGGCGGCAGTGGCGGGCGGACCCCGGCGTCCGGCTCAGGGCAGGGGGCTCTGGGCCATGGGGGGTTCCTCGGGGGGCAGGATCTCGATGCTGCTGTCGGGCTGGGGGGGCGAGACGCTGCCAGTCAGCTCCAGCCCCGGTGCCTGGCCGGACGAGAGGGGCTGAGGGGGGGTGGCAGGGGGGCTACCCCCCCCGGGTCCCCCCAGCCCCAGAAGCTCCTGCACGTTCCGTGGCAGCTCCTGTGGGGAGAGCGAGGTCACCGGGGGCTGGGACACGGGGCCGGGGACTGGCTGGCTTGGGGAGGGGAGTGGGACATGGGGGCTGCAGGGACAAGGGTGTGCGAGGCAGGCGGGGGGGGGCACTCACCAGGCTGGGGGTGTGGGAGGCGGGCTGAGGGGCCACTGGGGACAGGCAGAGGGACACTAATGGGGCTGGGGGTGTGAGAGGGAGGCAGGGGGCAGGTTGGGGGGTGCCGGGGGGCACTCATGGGGCTGGGGGTGTGAGAGGCAGGCAGGGGGCAGGTTGGGGGGCACGCTGAGGGGTGGGTACCAGGGAAGAAGGCGGGGGACAGTGGGGCAGGGGCACTCACGGGGCTGGGGATGTGGGAGGCAGGGAGGGGGGCACTCACAGGGCTGGGAGTGTGGGAGGTAGGCTGGGGGCAGGTGGGGGGCAGGCTGGGGGTACAGGGGGGCAGGTAGGGGGTACTCACAGGGCAGGGGGCAGGTAGGGGGTATGGGTGGCAGGGGGGTGCCGGGGG